ATAACATTCGGATTTCTTCTTTGAAAGGGGTCACGGGTGGCCCAGTTGTCTAGAGCGGCACAGTTCGGTGTGCCAGAAACCTATGATCGTGAGATCCTGATTTGCCCGGACTGATTCCAGATTTGTCAGCTCCGTACCCTTGCTCCTGGGTTTAACCTGCATCAATTAATGATAATAATAATAATAATAATAATAATAATAATAATAATAATGCATTTATTATGCGCCAGATTCCATTCACCAAGTGGATGCTCAAAGCGCTACACTATTATTACTCCGGTCAATGGATCAGTGAGCACTCGATTTTCGTTCTCAGCTCCTTGGGTAGTATACAACCCAAGCTGCCTGTGAGGCGCTAGAAGGTTCACAGCCACATTACCATCTCATCCTACCGGGTACCCACTCACTGCTGGGTGAACAGAGGCACATTTCGAACAAAGTCACTTGCCTCAGGAGACACCACATGTGGTACACGTACATCACTTCGGGCTTCGGGCTTCTGACATGCCGTGACAGAACTGAATTACTGTGTCTGTGTGCGTGTCTCCTTGTGTGTGTGTGTGGGGGGGGGGGGGGGGGGGGGGGGGGATGTGCGTGTCTGTGCATTGTACGCGTGTGTCTGTGGGTCTGTGGGCGTGTGTGTGCCTGTTTGTGTGTGTGTGTGTGTGTGTGTGTGTGTGTGTGTGTGTGTGTGTGTGTGTGTGTGTGTGTGTTGTTTCACTATTCTAATCCGGAATCCTCGCGGGGCATACGTATGTAAAGCCGTTGTTCCTTTTATTATTTTGTTTTATTATTTTGTATTTGGTTCATACGACTGACAACGTAAAACGTTAAAGTTGGAAATAAAGTCAGTTTGCTCACCTGAAGGTGGTAAGTGATGTTTCACGTTCAGAACTTTTTCAGAAATATCATGGGAATTGAAATAGCATTTTAGTTCAATGTCTCTTCCCGTCATCAAACAGAGTATTTGGCGTTTCTGTCATATAAATGTTTATCTTATCTTGTGATGTTGTATGGTTGACTACTCCACCTGTACACGGTCTTCGCAACTCGGCCATTTTACCTGATACAAATACGATGATCCGAATATCGTCTATTGATTATATATATAATGATAGAACACAGTATTTTGTATGACAATATATTATCGATATCTCACTTGAGTATAATAAATTGAACATTTGAATTTTCTAGTGTTACTGGTGGAATATCAACTTTATGATGTCCATGTGTCCAATAAAGAAATTGACTTTGATATATATATAGAATGTTGAAATCCTATATATGCTCACAGAAGAAGGCAGAAGAGGTTTACTATAACATTAAAAATAAATGGAATTCTTATAGTCAAATATCGATGATGTATAGAAGGAACTGAAGGGATTAATATAATAAAATAATATTTCAACCATGGAATTTTACAACACTCTTGCGATATAATGGCACCTGTTTTGGTTCATGTTTTATTAATAGTTTAACCAGTGCGTAAAGCAATGATATGCCCGCTTCACAAGAAAGGATCTTGTCATGATATGCAGAACTACGGAGAATTTCACCGCTGCCAGCTATTTGGAAAATATTGTTATTGTTTCGTGGAGATTTTTCACTTACAAACCTTTATATAACGATTTGGATTTGAAAATGGGGAAATGTTTATGAAAAAAATAGAAGAAGCGCAACCTACCAAATTTCGCTGGTATTGCATGTTTTTTCAAGAAATAATTAAAAATGCGGAGAAAATGTTCTTTATAAAAAGACAAATATCCAATCCCGTATCATTGCCACTCTAAGCAATCTTCGAAGTGTAGATAAAAAAACCAACCTTTTAATCGTTTTGTTGAGATTTCACCATTCCACGCGAGATAGCGAGCCTTATGAATGCTTGGCAGAGTTGCGTCCCTTGGGCATGCCAGAAACCTATGATTGTGGGTTCGAATCCGGATTCGCCCCGATTTCATGTTTCTAGGTTTGTCAACCGGGTTTCCGGTTTTACCGAAGTGGTAAACGTTTGAGACCTGCATCACTTCGGGCTTTCCTCCCACATCAAACTGACACGCCGTGATATAACTAGAACAACGTTAAAAGCGGTGTTAAACCCAACTCACTCACTCACTATACGACGACGTTAAGTACAGAACAATCACGTCAATAACCGTCGCCCACCCGTGACAACCCCTCACTAAGTCACATGAATTCGAACCACACATCTTTGACACAGGTTCCAGACAGCAATTCTCACAGTCCGTATCACCCCTGGCAACAAGGTAGTATCTGTGAGTGAGTGAGTGAGTGAGTGAGTGAGTGAGTGAGTGAGTGAGTTAAAATTTAAAGTAACATCGGCAAAATTTTCAGTAATAATAATACAAAATGCTGTATAAAACCTGTCGACAAATAGACAGCATAACAACTAGGGCATCAAAGATTTCCATTTAAAACTAGCAAGCAACATTAAAATGATAACAAAATACATAACAACATATGATAAAAACGGGACTAGAGATCATGGGGATTTACAACACCTATGCTACCTGCATGGTACCCCAGCCGGATTTACACCATCCGCCAAGTCTACTGGCGATTGTTAGAAAGTGTAGCCAATTAAATTATACGAGTATGCTATGCTTAAAACCATGGTGGGAATAAAATACCTAGAATGATGTTGTCTTACATACTCCCATACTCTCTCAGGGGGACAATCATTCACCCCACTCCCCATCAGTTATCAAATTTACCAAGACCAATTTTACGATATTAATATAATAATTACAAAGCACGATATTCAAATCGATGGAAAAAGTAATACAGTCAAGCGAGACATGCTAGACTGATTCTTTCATCGCAAGGGCTCCACGTCGGAGGGTCCTCACCTTTCAATAAATATTCATGTGTGAATCGAGAAGGGCCGACACGACATCGTCTCAGTAGGACTTTTTCAAATCTGGACAGACATCCAAGTAGGTGAAACAAATAGCTGGTTTGATATCATGAAGTTTATTTATACCTACTTGGGCGTCCCACTTGCATAAGATCTTTGATGTAACGTCTAATAACAGGCTTATAATCACTATATGGAATACGACGTGGTGTCACAGATTTGTTGAAAGCTGCTATAGATGCTGCATCAGTCATTGTGTTTTCAACGATTCCAACATGGCAGGGTAATCAACTAAAGATGATGTCGCATTGGTCAGTTGCATAGAGTTACATTCCAAAATATCAAAAATCCGCGGATGAGTCGAGATGACCTTTTTAGTTCCTGTAAGCATGACAGTGAATCGGAGAATATGACAAAATGCTGCTTGTATAGCCTTGGCATCAGCGGTGAATATGGAGCTATTATCTGGGATTCCAGAAAATATACTTTTTGATCTAACGACAGTGGCACTAGGAGTTTTGCCACCATCCTTGGACCCATCAGTAAACATAGAGCGGTAACAATCAAATTCGGATCGTAATTGGATATATTTTTGTCGAAAGACTATTTTGTTTGTTTCCGATTTTCTAAAATTAGTAAGTGTCAGTTCTACCTTGACCAGTTGCCAAGGAGGTGTAGATAACAGCTGATATGGCGCGATAATATTAAGATCTATGTAAGTGGCTACTGTATGTGGCTTAATTCTGATCTCAAGAGGCGGAGCCACTTTGTGTTTAGTTGGAAACTTTTCTTCATACATGGGATTATATGGATTATATGCAGGATTTGTTTTAGGAAAGGTACATCATCCCCTACGTGCGGACATAAATGATGATGACTATGCTTGTCGTAAAAGGCGACTAACGGGATAGGGTGGTCAGGCTCGCTGACTTGGTTGATGCATGTAATCGATCCCAACTGCGTGGATCGATGCTCATGATGTCAATCACTCGATTTTCTGGTCCAGACTTGATTATATACAGACCGCCTTCATATAGCTGGAATATTGCCGAGTGCGGCGTTAAACAGCAAACAAACAAACAAACCTAAATGATTGAGCCATAATCCAGTTTTGAGCATGAGCGATCTGTACAGATGGAGAAGGGTTTTCTGATCCCCTCCCCATTTTGTGTTTGATACGACTTTCAGTAAGTTAAGTGCTTTCGTACATTTTGGTTTTAGGTATTAAATATGTGGCAAGAATGTCAGATGACGATCGAAAATAAGTACCAGAAACTTGGCCTCCGCAACTACTTTGATTGGATTGCCGGATAGCAATAGTTCTGGGTTTTGTGTGGTCTGTATTTCCTGCAGAAATGTATTTAATTAGTTCAAGCTTTAGACAATTTAAAACCATTAACAACCGACCATTATGTATTTTATTGAGACACAATTGCAATTGCAATATTTCCAGTTGAGATATCAATTTTCTCCAATCGTCTCTGTTTTTCATTTGTTGTAGTGAAATGAGGAAAGAAAATGAGTCTACACCCCTTTTCCGCTAGTCAGCAATATTCCAGCTATATGACGTCGGCATGTAAATAATCGAATCAGGTACAGACATGCCAGCCATGGGTATTATTAGCAACGTCCCACGCCGTCACGGTACAATGACATTCCAAGCCTTTCCACCGATTCACTTTGGTCGCCTCTTCCGACAAGCAATAAAGTGCCGTGTCCCGATCCACAAAACGTTGGTAGCGTTACATCTTATAGTTACTACAGTAAACTACGGTTATAACGAACACGTTTATAACGAACTGACTTAGATAACGAACTTATTTTTTAGTCCCGGCCATTTGTTATATATATGCTGTATATATGCTTATAACGAACTACGGTTATAACGAACTAAAATAAGTGGTCCCTTTGAGTTCGTTATAACCGTAGTTTACTGAAATAGTTTGTCAGAGACTTACGAATCTCGTAATGCTACGGACGCCTTGTGGATCGGGGCGGGGTGGGGTTGGGGGGGGGGGGGGGGGGTTTAGTCAGTGGGACCAGGGAATCGTGTTTCGCAACCACTGAAAGGTCGACCTTTGTCGCAAGGAAGACCCATCTGACTTGTGACACCAGTTACCAAGATTATGTTTTTGAACATGTTCGTCTTGGCACATGCGTTTGTTTTCGCTGTACGACTTTCAGTGGGGTGAGTCCTGTTCGTCTAAAATGATGCTTGGTTGGATCAACGAAGTCTCTTAGAACTGTTTCGTAAACCGCCAGAAAGCAATTGCAGATAAAAGACACACTGTAAGCCTGACCTAGACAAATAATTACTGATGCACAAGAATTCCGGCATCAGACACCTGAAGCCTGTCATCCTTTAGGTACGGATCACGACGTCCGCTGATTGAAAACGCTGGTGAACGAGGAACATTGCCTGTGCTGATTGGGGGGTAATATGTACCAGGTCCAGGGTTTTCTGAAGCACATGTAACAGACGGCAAAAGGCGTTCTGTTGTTGAGTCAACAGTTCCGTCAATCTTGTGTTCATTTTCTGGAAAAACTCTCCTTGTCTTAAACTTAACCCGAAATTCTGGTTTGATTTTCTTGTCCGTTAGAGCTTGAGCATTGTGTGTGCTTTGGTAGATGCTTTCTTTCCCGTGTCTCTCCCCCTTCCAGCTGGCGACTGTTGCAACGGGGAGCGATGATACATGTCTACCATCATCCTTGTTGCTGTTGTTTAAGTCATCTCCGTGTATTAACATCATCCGGTTGCTGGTGTCTCGACCGCAGATGGAGAATCCAGCGCTTCTGTAAGCAGAGATGTTGTAACAAGGTCCGGGGTTGTCGTTGAGGACGGTGATTGGCCTCCTATTCTGTCCTGACGATCTCGTCGTTCCTTTTGGGTCGGGGTAGTCATAATCGGGCAGGAGCCCCTCCCTCTCCAGGCGTCTCTTCTCAGCCAGACCAGCTTTCTTCATCTCCCTGATGGCGGTCCACCTCGCCTCTGGAGTGGCGCTGGACCATTCCGGGTAGTTCATCTGTTACACAGAGATGAAACAAGAGTAAGTACGCACGGACCTTACACATGATACATTTGTCCTATTGGCATGCGTGTTTTATTATCTATCACTCCTATCATTCTCTATATGTCGGGGGGGCACGGGTGGCCCAGTCGTCTAAGGCGCCGTGATTCGCTGTGCAGAGTTGCGTCCCTTAGGCACGCCAGAAACCTATGATTGTGGGTTCGAATCCCGATTCGCCCCGATTATGTTTCTAGGTTTGTCAACATCATACCCGTGCTCGTGGGTTTCACCGAAGTGGTAAACGTCTTAGACCTGCATCACTTCGGGCTTTCCTCCCACATTAAGCTGACACGCCGTGATATGACTGGAATACTGTTAAAAGCGGCGTTAAACCCAACTCACTCACTCACTCATTCTATATGTCGGCGTGAGGAAGGGCCAATGGTCTGAGGCGCCACACTTTGCTGTTCAGAGTTGCGTCCCTTAGTTGTGACATCACCTGATGATCGTCGGCTGGAAACCCAGATGTGCCCCGATACTAATACTTGGTTCGCACTCAACCCGGGCTCGTGGCGTTCACCAAAGAGAAAAACACGGTGAGAGTTCCACGAGTGATATACAATACTGTTCAAATGGGCGTGTAATACAATTCACCAACACACAGTCGTTTGCTTTCTAGATGTATCTGTCCCATCCTTTGTTCCGCTGTATCTCTCTCGCCAAACTTCATATACTTCATATATAGGCAGGAATAGTCCCCGGTAACTCCATACATCGTATATTAGCCGCCTCCGTGTTCTAGTGGTAGAGCGTCCGCCCGGAGAGCGGAAGGTCCGGGGTTCGATCCCCGGCCGCGTCATACCAAAAGACGTTAAAAGATGGTACTTGTTGTTACACTGTCTGGCGCTCGACATTAAGGGGCTAAAACAAGGACTGGTCGCCTCGGTGTCAGTATACTGTGTCTGAGTGGGGTATTCATGTTAAACTGCGGCATGGTATCTCAGTGAGCTAGCACTATAAATCGGCATCAGTCCGGACTAGTACAAGCAGCCACACACACACACACACACACACACACACACGTGCATGCACGTCGCTATATAAGTGCAATAATCTTGGACGCGACGTTAAACCCAATTTCACCTCACCTCACATCGAAGATTGATGATTGCTGAATTATTCGACATATACTGCCGACCAAAAGAATTTATACAGTTTAAAATGGACCAAAGAGTTACAAACGTTATCAGAATGTTACTAGGATGAATTTTTAAAACAGTCGGACCCGTGAAGATCCGAGGTAGAATAGGTCTTCAGCAACCCAAGCTTGCCGTAAAAGACGACCATGCTTGTCGTAAGAGGCGACTAACGGGATCGGGTGGTCAGGCTCGCTGACTTGGTTAATTAACGCATGTTATCGTACCCCAATTGCGTGGATCGGTGCTTATGACATCAATCACTGGATTGTCTGGTCCAGACTCAATTATTTACAGACCGCCGTCATATAGCTGGAATATTGCTGAGTGCGGCGTTAAACAACATACAAACAAACAAACAAACAAACAAACAAAACGAAAACAGCCGCCGAAACACTGCAAACCGACACCCGTATTAAATACGGGTCAAATCACCACCTTATAACCATTTTTATTTGTTCTATTCAGCCGCCATCAAACATTGGGGTATTTTTACTTTTGCCCGGCAGTTTACATTCTTTTTATATGTTAATGGGGGCGGTCGGGTAGCCTAGTGGTTAAAGCGTTCGCTCGTCACGCCGAAGACCCGGGTTCGATTCCCGACATGGGTGTTTTTTAGTGTTACTCGTGGAATATCAACGTTATCATGTCCATGTGTCCAATAAAGAAATTGACTTTGATACATATAGAATGTTGAAATCCTATTTCAAGAATACATGCTCACAGAAGAAGGCAGAAGAGGTTTACTAGAACATTAAAAATAAATGGAATTCTTATAGTTATAATATCGATGATGTATAGAAGGAACTGAAGGGATTAATATAATAAAATAATATTTCAACCAGTAAATGGTATGATTATTTCAAAGTTTCGTTACATACTGAGTTGGAAGAAACCTAAATGGCAGATACAGTGACCGAGTCAATATGTTGAATTCTGTGAGGGATATACAAGCGGAATTCCGGGAGATCTTACTATAACATATGGGGCGGTCAGGTAGCCTAGTGGTTAAAGCGTTCGCTCGTCACGCCGAAGACCCGGGTTCGATTCCCGACATGGGTACAATGTGTGAAGCCCATTTCTTGTGTCCCCCGCCGTGATATTGCTGGAATATTGCTAAAAGCGGCGTAAAACCATACTCACTCACTCAATCACTCTATCTGTTAATGTATCTCTTTCTCGTTTTATCAGTCTCCCCGTTCTGTCTGCTAGTGAGCCCCTCTTACCTTTACTCTGCTTGTTGCTTGTTTATCTCCTTCCCTGTCGTTATACCGTCTTCAACTGTACAGAGTGTCTCCCTGCTTGCACGACTACCTGGCCGGTACAACAAGAGAACGAGTAGCTGCTCTCGTTCATGTTCAATCAACCGTCGCTATTATTTACACGCACAAACATTGCGTTGTCAACCTGTAGTAATTTGAGTACTGCGTCATTTGAGCGGTTGAACAACACAGATAACCTGTCCATTGATCGCGTGACGTGAATGTCTTTGTATAGAATACAACTCTGCCATGCGCTGGTGCCACGGTGGATCCAGGATTTGAAAAGGGTGGTGGGGTATATGATACCCAAGCCACATACTGACCTGACCGAGGGCCTAAGTTAACATGTAAAGTGTGGAGGGCTGCGCGCACACTCCCCAATAGCAATATTCCAGCTATATGACGGCGGTCTAATTATAGTCGATTCTGGACCAGACAATCCAGAGATTGGTATCACGAGCATAGATCCACGCAATTGGGATACGATGACATTGCATCAACCAAGTCAGCGAGCCTGACCACCCGATCCCGTTAGTCGCCTTTACGACAAGCATGGTCGCCTTTTACGGCAAGCATGGGTTGCTGAAGACCTATTCTACCCTGGATCTTCACGGGTCCTTTTGTTGGTCGTAATCTGTGTGACTGTACAGAAAGAACACTATCTGTTCACTTAAATATTCCAGAAGACTTAGTTGGAGAATTAAATGTTAAAGAAGACATCTCGTCATCAGGTATGGATATCGAAAGACACCCACAAGATAGTGTGATGGAAAAGCTAATAACCATGGTTATAATTCATTTAGAATTATGTAAAAACAATAACTTGTTCATCATCAGTGGAAGATTTGGAGAAGATAAACACCCAGGATGAAATACTTGTAAAGGAGAGAGAGAGAGGGGGGGTATCATTCTGAGCCATATGTCATTCCGAAGATTACAATGAAAATATATTCAATTACACGCAGTTAACACAATAAAAAAAGGCATAACATATTTACAACTACACACAGTTTATCAAATTCAGATACCTAAATGAAGACAGATAGTCACTAGAAGATATATATCAAAAGATGCCTTAGTTTGTACAGATACGAGGCGAATAGGAGTATAATAGTTTCCCAGGTGTGTTGATCCTGATTGTGAGTAAATTTTGTTTCAGTCCCAAATAAGAAAGATAACATTATCTGTTTCGTCTTGCATTTCAAAATCAACATATTTTTTAACGTCAAGTAAGTCAATGAGAGAAGAGAAAAACGCCTTTCTATCTGAAGTCCTACGTAGGAGATAGTAAGTCCTACGTAGAACATAGTAAGTCCTACGTAGGAGATAGTAAGTCCTACGTAGGAGATAGTAAGTCCTACGTAGGACATAGTAAGTCCTACGTAGGAGATAGAAAGTCCTACGTAGGACATAGTAAGTCCTACGTAGGAGATAGTAAGTCCTACGTAGGAGATAGTAAGTCCTACGTAGAAGATAGTAAGTTCTACGTAGGACATAGTAAGTCCTACGTAGGAGATACTAAGTCCTACGTAGGAGATACTAAGTCCTACGTAGGAGATACTAAGTCCTACGTAGAAGATACTAAATTCATAAACGACCAAGAAGTAAAAGTTTGCATTTATCAATATATGCAGTAATTGTCCAAAGTCCAAGGTTCGAAATAGTAGATTCTGAAGGAGATCTTTTACCAAGGCCCTGGACGATGTGTGCAAAATATCTTTGCGTGCCTTCCAACAAAACGCCATGTTGACCCGGGATGTCATAGAGAAATTCACATCCAAAAAGGCTGGTTTTGAGTATCATTCTCAGCCATATTTGAAATTGGATGAAGATCATAACTATCTAATCCTAGAGATCTTAGGGAGTTAATATTTTGTCTTGCTTTCTGACAGTACTTTTCAATTCTTGTGTTACAGGACAGGTTATACGTTAAAAGTATTTCCACCATTCACCGTAGAGACAGTTGTAGTAATGTGTGTATTACCAAGTTTACAATGACAGTTATACCCCTTGCGTTTTGCTTTGGTGAACACAATTATTGCACTTTTTGATGGATTATATGTTGGGCCTCACCTTGAGGCATATGCATGTAGAATATCAAGGGATGTTTGTAAGCCTCTCGGTGATGCGTTAATAAGTGAAGTATCGTCAGCAAGCAAGACTGTAGGAATATCCATACCATATGCACGAATGCCACATTGTGCTTTTCTAAGGGCTGTAATGAGATCATTTATAAAAACAAGAAAAAAACCAAGCAGAGATTACTCTGCCTTGGCCAACACCTTGTTGAACCATATATCTGTCTGATTGTTCACCTTGGTGGGAAATATAAGCATAACTATTTGTATAACAATTATGTAGTAATTTCCATGCATTACCTCTTATGCCCAGTTTATGTAGTTTGTAAAATGATCCATCGTGCCATATCGTATCGAATGCTTTTTCATTATCTAAGAAAGCTGCATAGTCTGCAGAGTCCCTTTGTATGTAATACTGAATGCCTTCGATCAAAGTAAATACTGACATAATAGCTTGTAAATACTTGTAAAGGTGTAAGCTTATTCGACTATGCTATTTCCACTGCAGGTACACTTAATTATGTTAGTAATTTCTTTCTTCGAGACTTTTATTCTATTTTATCAGATGCTCATGGTCCTATATATCTAAACATAAACAATCGTCAAGACGATACTGCCTGTCAATCAACGCCTGCTATTGACAGGCGCACGGACTCTTCATGCGACTACCGTCTCTGCAACAGCAGGAAATCATGTCAATTTCAAGACACTATCAGTGAGTGAGTGACTATGGTTTAACGCCGCTTTTAACAATATTCCAGCAATATCACGGCGGGGGACACAAGAATTGGCTTCACACATTGTACCCATGCAAGGAATCGAACCCGGGTCTTCGGCGTGACGAGTTAACGCTTTAACCACCAGGCTACCCGACCGCCCCGAGATACTGTCAACACTGACGATTTGGATACAATACTTGATAAACTAAATATGTTTAATTCTAATGTTAACACTAGAAATATTTATCGGATATTATTGAAAATGTTAACAAGGTTTTTGTTTGTACTGCACATGTGTCCTTTGGTGTAACAAATGTAAACCCTTAACCCCCTGTGAAGCGACGCCCCAAAATATGGTTGGGCAAGAAATATAAAGTTAGTCGAGGGAATATTTTCAATCCAAAACTACTTTCCATAGCAAAATAAAACGTATGAAAATAAGCAACGTTTATTAAATGTATGTGAGTTAGAGAGTAAGGTTTTTACGCCGCTTTTAGCAATATTCCAGCAATATCACGGCGGGAGACACCAGAAATGGGCTTCACACATTGTACCAATGTCGGGAATCGAACCCGGGTCTTCTGCGTAACGAGCGAACGCTTTAACCACTAGGCTATCCGACCGCCTTGAATGGAAGTACATCCTAAATGAGAACTTTACGTAACAGTTATAATCGACACAGAAATACTTTACAAACTAAAAAGTCTTTTTGGAAAATTCTACGAAAATGTTGCAACGAGTCGCAGTTACCTCCCTTGGCAAAATGAATATTTTAGAATTGAGAATTATAGTGATAATGACTCATCGACTTATGAGTTTACTGATCCTGAATCTTTTAACTTTGACCATTGTTATGTTTTAGACAAAGAATTTACATCACTGGAAATTCAAGACGCCATCATTAGACAGAAACAGGACAACGCCTGTGGCCCTGATGCAGTCGTAAACGAATAAATTATAAATCCCCCGAGGTTATGATGCCTGTGTACGTTAAACATTTTAATACAATTCTAGACACACGTGAGTTCCCTGACCAGGGGCTTACAGGTCTTATGAGACCAATGTATAAAGGGGAAGGATATCCATACAAACCGGTAAATTATCGTCCTATTAGTCTAATTAGCTGTCTCAGTAAATTATTCACTGGTCTTCTAGGGTCTAGAATAAACACTTACTTGGAAAATGAAAACATTCTTTCAGAAGCACAAGCAGTATTAAGACATTAAATATTCTACCATTGATCACATATTCACACTCCATAGCGTAATCGAGTTTTTTCAAAGTATGAAAAAAGAAAGTGTTCCGCTCTCAAGGAGGCCGTAGTGAACTTTTTTGTATTTTCATGATTCAAATAAAACTGTTTTCTATAAAAAAGACAGAAATCACTTAATTGTTTTGAAACTTATTGTAAATTGTGGAAACTAACTGTTAACACTGAGGTCCTTATTTTCGGTGGTGCTAAAATTGACAAAAGAAGGAAATGTATTTTGAATGAAAATTATTTGGATTTTGTGGATGAATATAAATATTTCAAATATTCCAAAGCAATAATAGTTTTTTTAATCTGTTAAAACTCTGTGTGAGCAAACAACGAAAGCAATGTATCTGTCTTACGTAAAGCACGTTTCCACAATCTTTCAATGAAATGCCAACTCTATCTCATCGACGCGATGGTAAAATCAATACTACTGTATGGTTGTGAAATATGGGGCTGTGATCATTGCAAACTAATTGAAAAGTTTCATGTACAGTTTCTCCGAAAATTATTACCGGTAAAGAAAAGTACACCTTTAACAATGCTCTATGGAGAACTTGATAGAACCCCACTTTGTCTAGATTTTAAGTTAATAAATTTCATTTCGAAGCTTATGTCAGGTAAATGTAACAAAGTATCGTTTGTATTGTATTGTATTTAGTCTTGTTTAGAGACTCAATTGTAACTCAACGGACTTATAAATGGTTGTCTTATATTAAAACATTTTTGGATAAATCAGGTATTTACTATGTCTGGATATCACAGAGTCTTAAAGCATCCTCCTGGTTGAAATCATATGTCTCTAAAACCCTCTCTGATAGATATTGGCAATCTTGGAAAGCGGATATTTCAAATTCTAGTAAATGCTCCTCATATCGTATTTTTAAAATCGCAAGTAAACTTGAAACATGTTTAATAAACATCCCTCCCCAGTTATCCTTTTAATAGCTCTTCTTTAGGACATCTTATCACCGCCTGCCAATAGAAACCGGAAGATGGAACAAAAACTTCGTTGAATTAGGAGATAAACATACTGTGTTTTCAATGTAGAGCTAGGTTACCTGTAGATTTAACCGCG